CTTAAATCGTATTTTATTGACAGGAAGCAAGCAAAGATGGTTACAACTTTAATTAATTAAAAGTAGTTCTGACCAGCCACAAAAATAATAATAAAAACCGAAGGACAGATAAAAAAACTACTATTCTTACGAACCCGTTCGAAAGAAAACTTTTTATGCCAAAGGCCTCCAATTGCTGTCAGCTTGGACTCCGTCAGTAAGAGCCTTTCTAAACGCTTTCCTCCGGACCTTTAATCGGAGGTCACAGTACCTCATGCTTGAGTGCTGTGAGCCAGTTCTGGTTGATCATTGCGAGGGTACTGCCCGCAAGTTCGTCTGCCTGATACATTACAAGTATATCACAGTTTCACACCTATTAATCGGAAAGTAATACTATTTATATAACCTTCACAATTAAAAACCAATGTTCTATTCTTTTATAATAAAATTATGCTTTTTGTTCTTCAAAAGTTGGGTTACTCCTGTGGCTCCAAACCAGCCAGAACTTGTTTTTAAAAAGAAAGTTGGGGCGCAAAAGACAGTATATACCTACCTACATACATATATTGTCTCGGCACATGGTTCTGAATAGACCACACACTGTTACCTATAAGGGTTCCACTATTTATCCCAGACCACAATAGAAAAGCTAGGAACAACCATTAATACAATGTATAAATCAGTAGTACTTACCTTTGTGTGAAAAATTTCGTATAATAATGAACTAACAGCCCATTAATAAATCACATCAAACAAGACAAGTACAAAGTACAAGTTCAGAATACCAGTCACGCCAAAGTGCCGGCCACGTGCCGGGGTTCTGCCTTTTTAACCTAACTAAAATTCAATAAATTTGGTGCGAACAAATTGACAAGAAGTAAATGACATAATAGACAAATAGACAATCAAACAATTAATTTTACTTTAGACAGAGGGTCAGACGAGAATTATTGTTAATTTGTCTAATCATAGAGGTTGATTGTAATTTATCTAATCTAATCTATCTAATCTTTAAAGATTATATTTTATATTATTAAATAAAGCATGTTGGCCTCTCTGGTTCCTTTTGCTTTTGCTTTTAGAAATAAGAAATAAATGAATTTTGTTACCTGACTATAGAATGTTGTGACTTGATGTTTTAAACAGACGTAGCCATTCAAGGCTTTTTGTCTTTACTGAAAGCCTGCAAGAGCCTTGGTGGGTTAGGGGTGTGGGTTTCGGGAGTTTGTGGGATTAAGAACGAAAGTAGTAGTATGAACAAACGAAAGAAAAGAAAGGAATAAAAGTAAGAGAAAGAGACGAGAAAAGTGGTGGTTTGTTTTAAATTTGGAAGAGTTTGAGAGTTTAGGTACTTTCCAGGAGATTTGAAATGTCGGAAATCACCTGCTTAAGGCGGGTGATTCTAGGGGGGGGGGTCTGCCATTAGACTTGTCGGGGTTAAGTAGCGTGGGTTAGGGATAGTTTGGGAAAACGTGTCTTTAATTAGTGGGTTTGGGTGGTTAAGGACGCGAGTTTTGAACTTTTCGTGGAGCTTTGAGACGAACTGTTGCACGGTTTCGATTTGAAGGTTCGCGTGAATTTGTGAGTTACGGACGTACCAGGGGGGTCTTGTCATCCTGCGGAGGATTTTGTTTTGGAAGATTTGAAGTTTGCCTATGTTTTTTTTGGAGGTTTGGCTAATGATGGGGGCAGCATAGCATATTTGCGACCTGATTACTTGCTTGTAGAGCAGAGTTTTGTTTTTCAGAGTGAGCTTACTTTTTTGGTTTAAAAGAGGGTAAAGGATGCCGGCTGTTTGGCTTCCTTTGGTGATTATTTTGTTAATGTGTTCGATAAAGTTTAGTTTAGAGTTGATGATAACGCCAAGATATTTGAGAGATTTAGAAAGTGGAATTTCGATGTTGTTGAGCATTAGTTTGGGTGTGTTAGTGGGAGGTTTTTGTTTCGAAATTATCATGGCTTTGGTTTTTTCTGAATTAATTTTGATTTTCCAGGTGTCAGCCCACTCTTGAAAAATGTTTAAGTGCCGTTGGAGAGGGCCAATTACGTATTTAATATTCCGGTTGGAATAGTAAAAGCAAGTATCGTCGGCGAATAGTGCTAGGTTGGTGGGGGGATTTTTTGGAGCATCAGCGGTGTAGAGATTGTAAAGGATTGGGGCAAGAGGGGAGCCTGGGGACTCCCGCTTCAATGTCGCGGATAGAGAATTTGATTTTGTTCAGTAGAGTGAAAAACTTCCGCTTTTGGAGGTAGCTTGCCACCCACTGGACAAAGGCTAATGGAAGTTTGTGTTTCACACAGAAGGAGCATCCAAATTAGCCCCTCGTGCCATACTTTATCGAAAGCTTTTTCTATGTCCAGACAGACAACTCAAAATCTGTTCTGGCAAGCGATCGTGGCATCTTGAATTAGCCTGGCTACTTGCATTACGGAGTCATGTTTTTGCATGAATCCGCACTGCTCTCGAGGGGTTAATTGGTTTTCTGAAATTAGTTTTTGGAGGCGGTCGAGAAAGAGAATTCTGTTAGTTTCGAAATTGTGGGAAGGAAGCTGATGGGTCTCCAGTTTTGAGGAAAGGTTTTGTTTTTGGAGGGTTTGGGGATTAATACTACGGAGGCGGTTTTCCAAGGGGTTGGGAATTTCCGTAGCGAAAAGGACGCATTGATGAGGGTGAGGATGTGATTGAGGATATTTTCCGGGAGACGTTTGAGGATTTTGTTGGTTATTTGGTCGGGACCGGGACTTGTGCGAGTTTTAAGGGTGGCGATTAGGGCGTTAAGCTCGGAGAGTGTTATGGGGGGAATTGCAGGGGCGTAAGGGGGGATTTGTTTGTCTTCGATTTCGCTGAGGACGTTGTCGACCTCCTCCTCGAAATCTAGGTTGTCGTTTCGGAAATATTGGGCGAGAACTGGCGTTCTAGAGAGTCCGCAAAAGCTTCAGCTTTTTCTTCGTCCAAATAGACCACCCCTCGCTCACTATGTATAGGGGGAAAGTGCGTTTTTGTTTTCCTCGCATAGCCTTCGAAATTTTCCAGGCGCGCGGGTCGCGAGTTGTGAGGTTTTCCAAAAGTTCTGTCCACCTTTCGTTTCTTAGGTTTGAGATCTGAATTTTATTTTCCTTGCTTAGTTTGTTTGCCTGTTTGTTAAGCTCTGAGTCGGTGAATTGTTTAGCCCTTCGTTTTAGCCGGTTACGATTTTTAATAAGAGTTTTGAGCTCAGGCGGCGGAGAGAAAAGGTTGTTGTTAGAATTCGGCTTAAGGATTGTGGTTTCTGAGAGTGCTGAGGTGATGGTTTCTGTAATTTGGGCTGTTAAGTTGTTTAGATCTTGCAAATTTTGCGGAGGGTGGACAGAGATTTGAGCCTCTCCAAGGTGGTATGCTAGGCTAAGGTGTTTGTGGTCAGAACTAAGGGAATCGGAGTTTGTAACGTGGAGGATATGGTAAATGTCTTTGGAAATGGCAATGTCGAGAATGTCGGGGGTATTGTGGTCATAGTGTGTTGACTCTGAGAGAGCATGAATTTCGAATTTGAGGAGCTTGCGCCCCTCGGCGTTTGTTTTTCTGCAGCCCCAGGAAGTCTTTTTGGAGTTCAAATCACCAGCGAGTAATGTCGGAATGTTTCGATTGAGAAAGTTCGTGTAATCGACGTTTTTGGACAGCTTAAATGGGGGGGTTTGAGACGGTGGGCTTGAACCTGGGCTTCGGAAGCTTTGGCGGCGTAGGAAATACCAGGCGAAACTTTGGTCTGGAAGCTGGCTGTATTGGCTTTTTCTTGCTTTTGGGCAAGGAAGTTTGGGTTTTTGGGGCAAGAGAAGGCTTGCCGGATGGGGGCCATCGCAGTTGATACACTTAGCCGGGATGTCTCTCGGCTTTTTGCATTCTGAATAAAAGTGCTGCTGGGTACATTTGTGGCAGAAGGGTTTTGCCATGCAGTTTGCCATTCTGTGGCCGAATTTTTGGCACCTCTTGCACTGAGGAATGTGCCTGATGTTTGTTTGGGGATGCCGTTGAGGTTCGATCACAACTGGGAGACTTAGGAGGTACTTAACCTCAAAGATGCTGGTTTGCTCCCTTGGAAGGAGCATTTTTACCATGTTTGTAGTCGTTTTGCGGTTTCCCATTCGGTAAAATTGTATTTCTGAAGGGGTGAAGCCCAGTTCCTCGAGTTCTGCCTGGATTTCAGGGAGTGCCATTTGGTTGTGAAGACCTTTGACAATGGCGATCAACTTTTTATCTTATTATTTTATAAAAGGAGGGTGTGAGTGTGGAATGTAATGTGTGTGGTGTAAGTGTTGGTGATGGCTCTGTGGTCGTTTGTAGATTTGGGGTGGATTTAGATGCCCAAAGCTACTTTTTTAGGGTTGGTGAAAGTGCAATTCTTTTGCACAAGAAGAGTTCTGGCCTATGTCCATTCCGCTGTATTCCTGATGACGATAGGAATAGCGGACTTAAGGGGTTGGGGTGCCGAAGTGGTGGCAGGGCCTGGGGCCCGGGGTGCTGAAGTAGCGGCTGGCGCTGGGGCAGCCTGAGGGGCATGTGCTCGTGGAGTGCCGGGTTAGAAGTCTTTGGGATATTAAGCCTTGGCTTGGCTTTTAGGGGCGGGAAGTCGTCGACTTCCATCTTTTCGGCTGGGTGGCTGCTGGGGGCTTTTGGGAGGATTTGCTTGTGCGCCTCAGCAACGGCTGAGAGGAGTAACGAGATCTTGTGGTCTTGCTCGGCAAGTTTTTGGGCAAGCAATTGGTTTTGCTTCTTTAAGGTGGTGACACTCTCCTGAAATTTGGAGTTTGCCAAACGAAGCGACTGAAGATCGGCGGCCTTGGTTTTGGCTTTGAAGGAAAGCAGGGTGCTGGGTTTTTGGGCAGGGCGTCTTGCAGGCTTACCTTGATCAGATTTTGAATGGTTCGAGTCGTCGCTTTCGGACCCTGAAGGGCTCCGCTCGCGAGAGCTCATTTTTTGACGTTGGGTAGTAGCGCTGGAGGAAGGAGTTTCTGGAATTTCAAGCGCTGGCAATATCGCACACGAACACTCAGGAACCCTATCCTGAACGGCACTGCACTGAAGGGGCTTTCCGGAGCCCGAAAGGGGGCCTGCACGTGCCTCTGAGGGAGACACGAGCTCGAATTTCTTTTTAGTTTAAACCTGTGCGTATACACGTGATTCTGGGGGAGGGCAAAACACACACTAGTGAGACTTCAACCTCGAGGTTGGACCGCGAGTGTGGAACACTTTGTTCAAAATAAGGAAAACAACCAAACAGTGGAAAGTTGGAATGGCTATAGAATGTTGGAAGCAGGATTCATCCTTATACAATGCTGACAGGCCGGCAATTAAAAAATAAATTACTAAAAATTTTAAATTATTATAGAAACATTTAAAGTTAGATAAAAATTATCTTCAAATAAAGCGCGACGTCATTTAGTGAACATAAGGACGTCTGAAATAAAGATTATTTTGAAATGAAAACCACCCTCGGCGGTCCATTGGACCCCCGTATATACCTGACTAATAGACGTCCAAGTATTGACGTCTTTTAGACGTCTTTTCTAAGTCAATTGACGTACTGACCAAAAATGACTTAATATGGACGTCTCGCAGACGTCTAGATGGTCAGTTGTGCTACCTGGGACGTGGCCAGACATGCATAGAACTGGAGCGGGTAAATCACCAGATGAAGACCTTGGGAAGAGAAGAGAAGTGTTGGAAGACCCCCGCAAAGATGGTACGACGAGCTAAAGAAGGTGGCAGGCTTCAATTGGTATCGAGTTGCACAAAACTGGGCGACAGGTCAAATTTGAAAGAGGCCCTATACCCAAAGGGGTAGAAAACGGCTAAAAATAGGAAATAGGAAAAATGGAAATAGTACCATCGGGTCCTTAAAGTTTGTGTATTCCTGTCCTTTTGCCCTTTTGCTTTTATAACATTTTCAGGTGTTTTCACTTAGTACAAAGTTAGGTGGCAGTTTTCGTACACCCTGTATGGTTAGAGGGCTAAATGTATTTTACGTAGTTTGGGCACGACCCGTTATGACACCAAACCA